CTCGGCACGAATGGGGAGACTCCTCTTCTCAGCAGGGCGCCTTCTGCTCTCCTCCCTGACTTACTTTTGAAGTGCCCGTCACAAGATACATGTTCTCTGGCACAGGAGCTACCAGGTTTTAATCAGGCGTTGTCTGATAGCCTGATAGAAGCCCACTGCCCTATGTAAATGAAGCATTCCAGGAGTACCTATCAGCTAAGGCTTCTTCTACTGTCTCCACACTATAAATAGTCCTAGTTTTACCCCAATAAAGCTGGAGCTAGAGCTGAATCACTGAGATCTGAGCTGAGTCACTTGTCTGAAGCTGTAACACTAAATCCTGTGATCCAGTCTCCTGGGGGGGGCTATCCTTCCATCATCTACTCACGAAGACCCTACTTTCGCCGTTTCTCGCACCTCCCCTCGTGACCTGGTGGCCAACAGGTCTCGAACTTAGAGAGAGAGTGCATGGTGGAAATTGAAACGGAACCCAACCAGGCAGCTGACAGCGGTCCTAGAGCCGCCAGCTCCGGTAGCAGAGGCCCACGGCAACGCAGCAGAGAGCCAGGGGCCCGAATAGCAGATGCGGCCCACGGGACCCGATGCACTCCAGCGACGTGTGGGAGACCAGCACCACGCCCAGCAGCTGGCACCCCAAGATCCCCGCACGCCCATAATCCGGGACGAGCCCCCAAAATGTTAGGGTCTGTGACTCTGTGGGTCTCTTCAGGAGAACAAAAGCACGAGTATGGAGATGCGAAAATGAAGCAGAGTTTTATTAGGCCAGCTAGCTGGGGCCGACCGTCCTTCCAAGACATGCAGGTCTGGTTGGAGCAATCGACCCCGAGGCAACTTCAGGTAAAGAATATATAGGCTCCCACAACTGTTACACAAAAGCCCATGCTTATACAACCAATAGTTTCAAAGCAAGCATTTCACAAACCAATAACTTCAAAACAAGAAAAATGTTACAACTCCCTCCAGGTGTCCCATTCGGGGAAGGGTGGGTGGTATGTACCTGGCGCAACCATTCCCTGTTATCTTGTATAAGCAAACATGCCTACGTGACACGACACAGATCAGACAGGTCAGGCTCCGGGGGCTGCAGCACTTGCCCCTATCTCTGGATGCCTGTGTCTCCAGTTGAGTTAATCAGTTACAAGAAGTAAATTCAACCAAGCAGTAAATTCCTCTTTCCCTAACAATATATATATATATATATATATATACTTGATAAAAGCCCAATGTTCTTAGTTCACTTAATATTGGACTGGGAACTTCAGAAACAGGATAAACCAACACTTTTATTCTTCTAACTTATTGCATGTATTTTATTACAATGATAGAAAGCAGAATGATACTAAAGTTCACATTCCCATCCAGGAACCTCAAAAATCCCAAGTAGACACAATTGAAAACTACCTGCTCAATCCAGCTCCAGCCACCATGACACCGTGCAATGAAAGACTGTATTTCCCCTGGAACCATAAGCGCAAATAAACTCTTCCTTCTATAAATTGCTTTGGTTTCTATCACAGCAACAGAAAAGTGACTAGTACAGTAATTGGTACCAGAGAGTGGGCTGTTGACTGTGAAGAACCTGACCATGTGGGGTTTTGAAGAAATGTGCAAGACTTTGCAAGGTTGGACTAGGAAAGCAGTTGACTGCTATAAGTGGAGCTTAACAGGCCCTTCTAGTAGGTGCCTGGAAGAAAGTAGTGCTGAGAACAATGTAGTTTCAGAGGGAAATAAGGACTTAAGCAGCAATTGGGTTATTTTGACAAAGAGTCTGGCTGGAGACTTCCCTAGACCAAAAAGCTTGCCAGAGGCTAAGTTGAAAGCAATGGACCAATTTCTTTGGCAGAAGAAATTTCAAGACAGTCTAATGTAGATATGGTGGCATGGCTATTAATGGTGAATATTATGTATATCTACAGTGGAAGAGAGCAAATGGAGCAGAAAGAAATACAGTTCGGATTGAAAAAGAGCACTAGGAAGATTAATGTTGCAGCCTAGGCATGTGCTGGATAGGATCTCTTTCAGAAAAAGATTAAAGTGATTAAGGAGATTAAAGTGATTAAGGGGGTGCCTAGAAATTCAAACTTAAACAATGGAGAGAGTGCCTCCAGGGCAAGACCACACACAACTTGTGAAAGGAAAATGCTGCAAGGATCATGGAAGAGAAAAGCTTCTAAAATGGATAAAGCAGTATGGAGTCCACCCCAAACTTGCAGTCAGACTTGGCAGTGTCATTCACTCAGTGCTGGCTTTAGAGGCATGAAAGACGGAAGAGTGAATGTATCATTAATTCTTCCTCTAAGGTTTCATACAGCCTCGGAGGCCAGGCAACATGAAGCAGGGATTCCCCTGCCTAGAGAAGGCCCTAATAGGCCATTGTGTGAAGCTATGAAGGTGAAGCCTGGTTGGCAATGGAGACCCCAAGAAGTTCATGATGCCAGAGCTGTGAGGCATCTGCCAAGAAGTCCTGCATATGAACAGTGGTACCAGCACAATACAGAGATATGTGTTGCATGCAGCAAAGCTAGAGAGGCTGAGCCATCTAAGCCCTTTGGAAGTAAAGTCCCAGAATTTGGATGTGGAGCTACTGGATTTGGTGTTTGCTCTGCTGGTTTTCAGTCTTGTTTTGGTCTGGTATTTCCTTACTATGCCTCCATTCCTCCATTTTCAAATGGTAATGTGTATTCAGTTCCACTGTATATTGGGAACATGTAATTTATCTTTTGACTTTTTAGAGGCATACAGTTAAGATATTTACCTGAGTCTACTTTGGACTGTGGACTTTTGAATAGTATTGAGACTGATAATGACTATGGGAACTTTTAAATTTTGACTAAATGCATTTTGCATTTTCTATGGTCATGAGCCTATGGGGCCAAGGAGTGGAATATGGTGGTTTGAACGAAATTGTCCCCCATAGGCTCCAAGTATTTAGACATTTTGTCCCCAGATGATAGCACAGTTTTGGGAGGTTTTAGAAGGTGTGGCTATCCTGGAGAAAGCACATCACTGGGCATGGGCTTAGATAATTCTTACGCCTTGCCGGATCTCCAGTTGCTCTCTTGCTTCCTGTGCCTGAGTGATGATGTGAGAGCTTCACTTCTGCTGCTCCTGCTCCAGCCACCTCCAGCCACCATGCCTCCCTGCCATGATGGACCATAATTCCCCTGGAACCGTAAGCTCAAATTACTTTTCCTTCTATAAATTGCATGGGTCAGTGTTTCTATTACAGCAACAGAGAAGCGACTAATACACTACCCTCGGTAAGGAATATTTTTTTATCAAAATCTCAAGACTCAAAGCAGAAAGAATTATAAAAGGAGCAAGAGAGAAGGGTTTTCATCTCATATAAAGAAATCCCTATAATACTAAGTATTGTCAGCAGAAACTGGGATGATATCAATGTCCTGACAGCTAATCAGAGACCAAAATCTCTAATTACTCTGGTACCAGTTCACAAATTATTAGCACACATGGTCCAAAGGTATGTCAAATTGGTAACGAACACACATGCATACAGACACACAGACACACAGACAGACACACAGACACACACACACACACACACACACACACACACACACACTAGACACCAGCATACTCAGGCCAAAGTTGTGCTGAGCAGAGGAAGCTTATTAGTTGTTGGTTAAGAATGAAACAGATGGAAATAATAAAAACATAATATTAAATCATTCTAAAATCAATTGTAGTGCATAGCAACAATTCTGACATTATGTAAGGACCACAAAACTACATATATATCTAAAATTTGTTGAATTGGATGTGATTAACATTCATAGGAAAGAAGTCATTGAACTTTGATCTGTGATATAAAAAACTGGATTCAGTAATTACACTTTTCATTCAGGTTCTATACTAAGAAAGCTACATTTTTAAAAAAGAAAGAAAATCTTACATTTTACTCTTCTCATATTATTAGTGCACCACACAAGTGGGTTACTGAGAAACAGGAGTCATTTACCACATCCACATCTGCCTTTTGATTTTCTGCACTTGGCATCCAGAGACAATGATTGTTCCATAGGTGTTTACTCTGGAGTTCACAAATTATAGTTTAACTAACGTTTCTCTTTTAACTTCAGCAGAAGCAGAGCCATACTATTTGAGAGGAACCTTCAATTTAACCAAGATGTCTGTGAAAATAATTGCAGTTTTGCTCCTACTGCAGCTGAGTGGTTTCTTTGGTTCTGGGAGCTGTGGAAAGGTGCTGGTGTGGCCAGTGGAATTCAGCCATTGGTTCAATGTAAGGACCATCCTAGATGAACTTGTGAAGAAGGGTCATGAAGTGACTGTTCTGAGACCTTCAACTTCCCTTTCTCTGGATGTTGACAAGACATCTGCAATTAAATTTGAGACTTACCCGACATCATTATCCTTCTCTGGCACAGAGGAATTTTTTGTGGAAGCACTTAGGAAAGCCATTTATGAACTGCCCAAACAACCATTTTGGAAATATTTTTCAATGTTTCAAGAAATTTTTGGGCTGTCTTCAGATTATTATGAGAATCTCTGTAAAGATGCAGTTTTGAACAAGGTACTTATGACAAAATTACAAGAATCAAGATTTGATGTCATCCTAGCAGATAACTTCAGTCCCTGTGGTGACCTGCTGGCTGAGATTCTCAAGATACCTTTGGTGTTCACTCTACGCTTCCTTCCTGGATCCACATATGAAAAGTACAGTGGTGGACTCCCACTGCCTCCTTCCTATGTGCCTGTTGTTCTCTCAGAACTCAGTGAGCAGATGACATTCCTGGAGAGGGTGAAAAATATAATGTACATGCTTTATTTTGATTTTTGGTTCCAAATATTTAATGAGAAGAAGTGGAATCAGTTTTACAGTGAAGTTCTAGGTAAGCATGGTCTTTAGTTCCTACTGGAGAGTTCCACATGTGCTGTGTAACTGAAGATGAACATGATAGAACAGAAGATCAGAATGATTTATAGTTTATAAGTACATTGTTTAAATAAGTTTATGAAATTGTCTGTCAAACTCAAAGATCTGCAGAAAAGTTTATGATGCAGTTTTCAGATAGAAAGCCTTGACTATCACTTGAAGAAAGGCACACACCAAAAAAAAGGCACAAAACAAAAAAAAATGCTGAGAATTTCTCTAAGTAATTACATACACATGCTATTAGTCATTTTATCTTATCAATGAAAATGATAATTCTACCTGACTCCTTTTATAATTATTATTATTACTGTCATTATTATTATTATTAATTATTATTATTATTATTATTGTGTGTGCATGATTTGGGCGGGCATGTGTGTCATGGGGGCATTTGTGGAGGATAGGACAAATTTGTGGAGTTAGTTCTCACCTTCAACCTTTGCACTGCTTACAGAGATTGCACTCAGCTAGCACTCTTGAACAGAAAGTGCTTTTAACCGCTGAGTCATCTGGCTGACCTTCAAAAGAGTAGTTTCAAATCCACTCAGTGTCTTCATGATGGCAGCTATGTAGATATAAGAGTTAACACATATTTCTGACACAGAAATCTGTATACAACTGAGGGTATTTTCCCCTTTACATAGATTATTTTTCTCATGTAAAAACTGTAAAAATATACCCCATTCCCCTTGTAGCCTTGAGCACAGGCCTGCTTTTGCACTTTGTGCCCCAGAACTCTGGACTACCCTCTTAGTCCAGCCCACCCTCTGCATCCTGATTCCCTGCACTCAGGTCATCTCAATTTTCCAGCTTAGCTTGTTAAACCTTTCACAGGCTGTCCAATCCCCAACTTGTCTTTGGACTCCTGGGACGAGTTTTCTATCCTGATAGGTGTTCAGTACACCACTAATCTGGAAAAACTCCTTTTTCAACATATGGAGGCTATTGCAATGTTCCATAGCTGGTCACACACAGAGAATGTGGGTCTGGGAGATAACCATGCTTAGGTGTCATGTCTATAGTGGAACCTGTAAACCTAGGGCTCATGGAACACAGCAGAGCAGTGGGTGCTCTTTGCCAGTGAAGCTTCTTTATGCAACAGAATATGATACACCACCCACAGCTCAGGGACCATTGTGGATCAGAAAAAAGAAAGATTGTAAGAGCCAGGGGAAATAGAGGAACATGGGGAAACAGAGGCTTGCAGGCCACAGGAAATTTGTGAAAATGACAGCATCAAGTCCATGACCTATGTTGACTCAATCAGACAAAGGCACAATGTGAAGCAAGGGAAATAGGTGGTGGCTCGCATTAGTCTGGGAACTCTTGACAACTGATTGCTGCTGGGTGAGGGATAATAGGTCTTCTTTAAGATCTCTGAATGGGCTGACTGGACTCCAGTAGAATGGCTTGTACCGATGAAATCCAGATGCAGAGGTTTAACCCGATGGGACATAGCATATACAACAGAGTGCATGGGGTCTTGTGGGTGGGCCTGTTATGGGGGAGGCATAGGTGGGGATGGTTCTAAATTTGATTGGGAGATGTTGTATGTGGTTAAAGAAAACTCAATAAAAATATTAAAGAAAAAATTGAAGCATTTTATCTCTTCACTAATGCATTCCTTCACAGTTGTGACATGTACTCTTTCAATCCTAGACAAGGAAAACTCATAAATTTAGGATTTTAGATAATGCATATTAATGTATGAGGGTCTAAAATACTCTGTTCAATATATTATAATGTTGAAGTGTATGTATAGAAATTTTATAATGTTTTAAACAATAATTTGTTTTTAACAATAGAAGGGACAGATATATATATATATCTTTATATGTTTTTAAACTTGTATAATTCAAATAACTGCAAATGTAAATCAGGTGCAGTAGTAGGACAAGGCTTTCAGGCATACCAAAAAATTCCTCTTTGAAGTCAGCCAGGGTTACAGAAAAAAGGAAAATGAAAAACAAGACCATCATAAATAGTGGGTGTCATGGCATACAGATGTAATCCTAGCACTTATGATGTGGAGGGAAGATGATCAAGCATTCAAAGTCAGCTTTGACTACATAGTAAGTTCGAGACCACTCTGGATTCCATGAGATTATCTCAGAATAAAACACATAAAATTCTTGGTTCACTTAAAACCAATCCTCAAGAATCCAGCTTCTATGTAGGGTAAACCGGATGGAGTACACCATGGAAAGGTGTTTCCATGGGTAAATGAGACAGGATTCATAGGTGATGGCATTCAAGTATTGGTTTATATTTTCAATGCCATATTGAGATACTTAGCAATTATGAAATACAGAGGCGATTTACAATTGTGGTCTCTTTTCACGAGCCTCTCATCTTGTGATATTACATACCTCTAAACAGAAATATAAAAAAGGTATGTGCTATAAATATGTATGAACACAAACACACACACATATAGAAAGAGAAAGAGATACTCTTTAAAAACTTCTGGCTACATTATTAAAAGTTCTTCCAGAAAATTGCCTGCACATTCATTTTCACCTGTCATGTGTCAGCTCTCAATGCTTCACTTTGCTTCTTCCCTTTCAGGAAGACCCACTACTCTGTATGAGATAATGAGCAAAGCAGACGTGTGGCTCATTCGGACTTACTGGGATCTGGAGTTTCCTCACCCCACCTTACCAAATTTTGATTTTGTTGGGGGACTCCACTGCAAACCTGCCAAGCCTCTGCCTAAAGTAAATATATTTCTTTTTGTTTGCTTCTGTTTGCCTTGCATTTTCAGCAAAGTTGGTCATATTGTATTCATTCAGAATACTTGTCTCAGTGTCAGAGTCATAGGAATTAAGGTAAAGAGAGCTGCCAACAGAAATTCACGAATCTATTCTGTCACAAGTGTCTGAATTTTGTTCTTGATAGAGTACAAAATGGAAACCTGTAGGACTCTTGAGGATAAAGACATTTAAGGTATTATTAACGCGAATGAAAATCTCAGTGACTCATTCAAAACATTTCTTTATTCATGTTAAGGGAATGACAGTGCCAACAGGATGATTGGATGCAGGCACAAAGCAAAGGCATGAAAGGTGTGCAGGGGATGTGGCTCAGTAGAGGAGAGCTGGACTCACATGCCCAAGGGCTACACCAAAGAAAGTGTAGAAAAAGCAGTCTCATCATGTAATATGGAATAGTAGGCTTAGATCTAAGTCACAGAAACATGATTTGAGTCTCAGTTAATAATGGTCAAATCTTTTTATACTTCATAATGTGAAATGTTCCTCTAAAGCACTTAGTGCATATTATTAGATTCTCAAAAGTTTCTGTGAATTTGAAAGGATAGATATTATTTGACAAAGTACACAAGAAAAGAAGAAATGAATATTTTAAATTAACTATATATTTCATAGTAGGAAAAAGAGAGGATTTGGAGCATTCTCAGATTAGAATATGAGTAATATTTATTGAGTGAATATTCTATTTACTTTGATTTAGTCATCTATAAAGAAAGGAAAAAGAAAAATATGTTATTGGTATTAGTTTGACATGAGATTACTGGACATTATTCTTATAAAAGTAATTAAGATACAGAATCAGTATACATATTACTTATTCATAAAAGAAACATTGAAATTAAATGAACAATATGCAAGAATATTATTTCAATGTATACTGTGAATATACAGTGTTACAATTATTTTAGCCTAGACTACTTAACTACCCTGTCAAGTATAACATGATTTAACTTGGGAAGCAAGGAAGATAACTATAGTGAAATTATGTTTTTGCATAAAATTAAAATGTTTAGGTAGCAGGTGTCTAGTTTTCTAAATGTGTATCATACATTTTGTGTGTTTTGTGTGAGGGGCATAGGATCTTAGGCAATAGCCTTATGCTGAAAATGCACTCCTAACTCGCATGTGTGTATGTATATATTCACACATATATTCAGTTGCATGCAAAGATAAACAACAGAATGAAGACATACAAATTATGTTTAATATGTGTTTACTGCAGTTGAATGCAGGGACTTGTGCA